TTTCTTTTTTTTTTTTTTTTTTTTTGGGCCAGCTTTAGCTCTGAGGCCTCGCTGCTGAAAACATGGATACAATGTTTCGGTCCGGCTGGGTTTCAGTCCGGCTGTTTTCTGGGGTTTTGTTTACCTTCTTATTTGCAACATAGTATATAGTTGCTTAGAGTTGCAACTGAGAGGCTGGCAAGTTAGGTGGGGAACGTTGGAGTCCGCAGTCACTGAAGCAAGCAAGCCTCCCTGTTTGCTTCAGTGCCTGGCTGCCGGCCGCCATCTTGGCTGACAGTTAATTTGCATATACTCACTGATTAGCCAATGAAAAGGGTAGCGGTCGTACGCCAATTACCATGTTTCTCTTTTATTAGTGTAGATAGATATTTTCTTCTCTAAATATGTACAATTTCAGCTTTTATATTTAAGTCTCAAGTCTAGGTGAAATTAATTTTGATGCATGATTTGATAAATATAAGCTGAATAATGCCATTTATAGGGAATTTAAGGTTGCTCTCTGTATCTGAGAGCTGCCTTGAGAGGCAAAGAGAAATGATGTTAACTGGTTAAGGTAAGAAGAGACGCTCCAGGTGTTTCTGAACCATGAGATGGCTGTGAAGGTTGGACTGGGCCTCAGAATCTTTCTCAATACAATCCTCCACACAGCCACCACTGGTTGCCTGGAGTTTGCAAGCAAGAAACAAAAATATAATTAGCTCTTCATATGCATTGGTGGTTACATTATAGAAACTCAATGAAGTTCAATAAAAAAAGAAAATAAAGATTTGTTGTATATAAACTGTACAAGGTCAAGGACATCTAAGGGAAGGGGGAACTAGAATCAGGGCTCGTGAGGATTAGACCTGGAAGACACAGGCTTTGAAGCAACACTTTTAAATTTCCAAGATCACATGATTTCTTTCATCCTTCTTCTCTCTGTACATCTACTCCACTTTCCTTGAACCTGCTTCCCTTTGCTTATCTTCACAGGACAATGTAGCCATCAATCCCAAGTAAGCATTATAATCTCCTAACCTGATTCAACCCAGTGAAGAAATGCACCCCCTACACACACCAGATCTAATCACATGTTATAAGAAGTAAGGGCAAAATTGCATGGTACAAAAACAACTCAGCCTCACCCACCCAGGAACTGTGGGTAAAGCAGGTGCACACACACACACACACAATCAAAATTTTTACTGTGAGAAACAAAAATTTTAAAAGGATCAACACATCATGGTTTCCCTGATTTTGGTTTCCTGTGGAATCAAACCTTCTGGATCTGTCTCTTGGGATCCCTTCACTCTCTTGGTTCCCCCAAAAGAGGCATCCTCTACTGGCTGGTCCACTTACTGAGGCTGAACCAACGTTAAATCCAAGGAAAGAGGTAGCCTGGGCCTATTTTCTTTGGGTAATAGGCATCATTGTAGCTGCATGTGACGGCCCAGATCAAAAGGGATCAGGTTTCACTTAATAAAAACCTTTTATGGCTCAAAATGAAGTGTACAGTTTTATCATGTCTACAGCACCCTACGTAATCTGGCTCCAGCCCACCTGTCTAGGCTCACCTTATGCTCCGCCTCCCCTTGCTCTCCTCACTCCAGCCCTGCTAACACTACATTCCTGACTCCACTGTGCTCTCCCACCTCCTGGATATCACGGATCCATCACCTCCAATGGAATGACTCTTCTCTTTGCCAAGATAAGTCCTCCTGATATTCTGTCTCACTGAAATAGGACCTCCTTGGGGAAGCCTTCCTGGACTCAACAAACATGCTGAGGAAGCCCTTTCTTATGCTCCCAACCCACACTGTGCTTCTTGTTGATGCCACTTTGCACACTGCTAAGTACCTGACATCAATCCTTCCTGTGAGTGAATGCACCCACCACACATTTCCCGAGGGCAGGGACTGAGTGTTTCCCACCACTACAGTCCCAGAGGCTGGCACATCGCATTCAGATGTGTGTGCTGATTCCAGATGAACATCTGTAAGGTGGCTTTGGTCTCTCATTACTCCCCTAATTAAAAATCACCCATTTTCCTTACTGCCTTACTACATTAAGAACTACTATACCTTTCCCTAGATTTCTTTCCCTTCATACATGCTCTGCACTTCCATGGCTGTCTTAACTTACCCCCTTCATGTGAAAGGCCAACCTCTGTTAAAATCCATCATACCCTTTAAACACTTCTGCTACCTCCACGAATTCCTTCCTAGTCTATCCCGTCCTTTTCTGAAGAGCTGGATTAGTTTTTTATAGTCATATGTTCTATTTTACCCTTCCCTTAGACTACAAATTCATGAAAGTAGTGAACGTACCAAACTCCAGCAGTGAAATTTCTGCACTGGATAAACGGGGCTTGCACTAGTAGGTACCAAATAAATATTTGTTACTCAACTGAATGAGAAATGCGGAGGTCAAGTTCATTGTCAGTTTCAATGACCGCTTTAGAAAATGCTGGCAGCTACAACTATAAAGGCCAGAGCTCATTACCTGCTCTGAGCATCGGTCTTCTCTAGCTTTTCCTGAAGTTGAATCCAGTCAATCAATGCTTTGAAATCTCTTACATAATTATCCAGCATCATCAGCACCTCCTAATTGAAAAAAACAACAAACATTAAATTCCATTCTTAGACTAAAAGTTTAAAAAAAACATACTTCAGAGTGAAGAACTTAAAAATTAATAATTTCTACATTATACTCCTTACTGAGGAAGCTACAAAATATACTGATCTAGATTTTTGGTTGTTGTTTTCATTCTTACTGTTTGGCAAGAAATTAGTGAAGCTGAGAATCTAAAAACCAAGAGATGGTATTGATATTCCTCTAAGACCTCTAGAATGACCATTCTTTTTTTAAAATATATTTTTATTGATTTCAGAGAAAGAGAAAGGGAGAGAGATAAAGAAACATCAATGACGCCTGACCAGCGTGGCTCAGTGGTTGAGCGTCGACCTCTGAACCAGGTGATCACAGTTCGATTCCCGGTCAGGGCATATGCCCGGGGTTGCGGGCTTGATCCCCAGTGGGGGGCATGCAGGAGACAGCCAATCCATGATTCTCTCTCATCATTGATATTTTGATCTCTCTCTCCCTCTCCCTTCCTCTCTGAAACCAATAAAAAAAATTTTTTAAAAAAAAGAAACATCAATGATGAAAGAGAATCATCAGTTGCTGCCTCCTGCATGCTCCCCACCAGAGATTGAGTCCATAACACAGGCATGTGCCCTGACCGGGAATCAAACCGTGACCTCCTGGTTCACCATTCGATGCTCAACTATTGAGCCACACCATCTGAGCCAGAATGCCATTCTTTTAACCCTCTTTATTGTGACATTAATAAACAGAAAGTACACAAAACACAAATGTACAAATAAATCATTTCAGAGCACAGACCCAAGCAACCACCACCCAGGACAAGAGTATAACAATTCCAGTCTCTAGAAGTTCCCTGGTATCTCCTCCCTATTACAACTCCATGTCTTTCCACTGCTTTAATCTGTAATAGTTCAATTTCACCTTATTCCAAAATCCATATAAATGAACCCATAGTGTATGTATTATTTTGTGGCTTCTTTTTTACAAGTGTTTACTAGGTTCATCCATATTTCAGTGTACCTGCAATTCATTTATTGTTGATGTCCAAGGTCACAACTGAACAATATTCTTTAAATGGATATTTATTTATGCAATCAACTGTTGAATTAGATGAGTTCAAATTCTGGATATTACAAATTATACACTGCTACTTATGTACACTGACTGATGTTTGCATTTCTGTTGGGTATAAGCCCAAGAGTGAAACTGCTGAGTCACAGGGCAGGTGTATGTTCCACTTTAGTACACAACGCATACTGGTTTCCAAGGAGGCTGCCATCCCACCAGCAGTATACAAGAGTTCCCTTTTCTCCACATCCTTTCCAATACTTATTGTCTTACTGGCAACAGCCATTGTAATAGGTGTGGGGTGGTATCTCATTGTAGTTTTTGTTTTTTAAATACATTTTTATTTATTTTAGAGAGGGAGAGAGAGAGAGAGACATCAATGAGAGAGAAACATGGATCAGCTGCCTCCTGCACACCTCTTACTAGGGATCGAGCCTGCAACTCAGGAAGACCAGGAATTGAACCAGTTACCTCTTGGTTCATGGGTTGACCAGTGATCCAAACTGGCCAGGCTCATTGTAGTTTTGATTTGCATTTCCCTTATAGCTACAATTTTTTCTTATATCTATTAGCAACTGTATGTCTTCCTTGAAAAAGTATCTATTCAGGTCCTCTGCTAATTTTTTTAATGTTTTTATTGATCTTTAGAGAGAGAGGAAGTGAGAGAGAGATATAGAAACATGGATGAGAGAGAAATATCATTGATCAGCTGCCTCCTGCATGCCCCCTACTGGGGATTGAGCCTGCAACCGGGCATGTGCCCTGACCCAGAATCGAACCGGTAACTCTTGGTTCATGGGTTGACACTCAATCACTGAGCCACAGGGGCCGGACCCTCTGCTCACCTTTTAACCATTTTGTTCTCCTTGTTAAGTTGTGTGTTCTACAACAGCCAAGACATGGAAACAAGCCAGTGGCCTTCAGCGGGTGAATGGATAAAGAAGATGTGGTACATATCTACAAAGAAATACTACTCGGCCATAAAAAAGACGAAATATTCCCAAATGAAGTATGTCCCATGGAAAAGGACAAAAACCATATGATTTCACTCATTTGTGGGATAGACAACAAAAAGCAACCAAAGAACAAACAAAACAAACAAACAAAAAACCACACACAGAAACAGCAACAAAACGATGGCTGCCAGAGGAAACGGGGGTGGGAAGAATGAAGACAGCAGAGGGTCAAACACAAGGTGGAGGAAGAGCCCGGAAGCTGGTGTCATGTGCTTGTACAGGTGTGTGCTAGACAGCTGCACACCACGACACGTATAGGATACTGTTAGCAGTTACCCCAATAAATTTAATTTTTTGAAATAACTTGTTCTATGAAAACATTACTTTTCCATAACTAAGTTTTAAACTGACTTTACAGTATCAGTGGTACTCAAAGATCTCAAAAACACTTTTCAAATATAAATGCTTAAAAATTTTGGCTACACTTTGGAAATTAGGCCCAGCACTAACAATAAACTACACCTAATTACTCACAAACGAAATACAGCACCAACCTCACTTTAGTCATAAAAGTTATATTCTACTTTAAAAGGACCCTTCTGAACAAAGAAGTATTGTTTATCTCCTTTCAAAGATAATCCTTAGTGACAAATCACTGGTAATAGTCTTCTACAATCAGGAAAAGGGAAAATTTTTATTTAGTTGGCTTCCTTTTCTCAATTCTACTAATATAATTAAAATTAGTTAACTGAATTCATTCAACTTAAATCAATTAGAGCAAAGATTAAATTCAGAATAATTTATTCCATAATTCTGCTTCTGAAGAGGAGGAGGAGGAGGAGGAGGAGGAGGAGGAGGAGGAGGAGGAGAAACAATCTCTACAGGACAAGACTATAGCAGCTATACCTCTGATACTCATTGGCACAGAGAAAGTACATTTGGTGGCTTAAACAACCTATTTTAAGGAATGTTTAGCTCCACTTAATCAGAAATGATCAGAGTAATCCGAGTCGTGTTTTACGAACAAGGGAACACAAACAAGACACGCAGCTGGAGCAGCCTCGCAGTCAATGATGCACATCTTTCTCCCCACGGCCATGAAGGCCATTTTGTCAAGCAGGATGGAAAAGAACAAAAGTGCCTCTGAAAGTAACGTTATAGGCGCTCAGATAAGTACATATAGACGTGCAGCTAAAATTACCAATTACTGTACCAATTGGCTGCAACAGATTTGATTGGTTTGTAATTAATTCTCGTCACTGGCGCACAGTGCCGGACGGTTGGCGCCATCCCTTTGTCCTGCTGACACCTAACACCAGCGCACAGGCCCTTGGGCCCAGGGCATCAATACAGCCTCCAACTCAGCTCCAGGAGTGAGCAGTGCTGAGCCCAGTGGTGATGAAGGGGTGGAAACACGCATCACTTGAGAAGGCAGTGATAAAGGGAACCTTATTAAAGACAGAGCTTCACAAAGTGAAACCAGTTTTAAAGAGCATGATTTTTAAGACCGGCTTTATTTTAAGCTACTAGTGCAGTGGTTTTCAACCTTCTGGCCCTTTAAATACAGTTCCTCATGTTGTGACCCAACCATAAAATTATTTTTGTTGCTACTTCATAACTGTAATGTTGCTACTGTTATGAATCATAATGTAAATATCTGATATGCAGGATGGTCTTAGGCGACCCCTGTGAAAGGGTCGTTCGACCACCAAAGGGGTCGTGACCCACAGGTTGAGAACCGCTGTACCAGTGGAATAGTAGTTCATGGAAATCATCTGAAAGAAAAACGGCCGATAAACCCCTCTCAATTATGTTAATAACATCATTCACAGTTATCCGCACGAGCAAGTCAGCCCTCCCGCAGACCCTTGTGGGAACCAGGTGAGAGGATGGCTCCCACCTGAATACCTGCGCCCTCTCCCCACCCACCCTCTAGTCCACTTCATAAGGGAGAAGGGGAAACGTAGTGCTGATGGTGAGCGCACAGTGTTGTTGGAATGTCAGTTCGTAACAAGTTCTGCAGGAGTGGCTGATGGCATAACAGGCACATCGTCAAATGAAAAAAATGAGAAATTCAGCCTCTTGATTACAGAGGTGGGCCCTAGTCCATAATCCTGGCTGAAACAGAAAACATACTTTGTACTATCATGTTATACTTATCATGTGAATTATATAACAGAGCTATTAACAGCAAAAACACAAAAATCAAATCACAAATAGTGACAAATCTTGTCAATACTTCTGCAGATCAAGGGTTGACTCCACCTGTAGAATGAGGGGAAAACCTGGATTATGTATCTCACAAAGATACTAATAAATGAGATAATGGATAAAAGAATTTTTTAAAAAACCACCTCTAGGTAGTATATACCCAGCACATGTTGTGTATTTTCATCCCCACCTGCATGTCCTGGAGGGGAGAGTAGTCGAGTTGGGTATGAAAATACTGTTAAGCTCCCAGGTTTCATTCCTCAGTATAAGCCTCTGAGCATCTGGGCACAGCACAAAGAATAGAGACCACACCTCTCTGCTCTCACTGTCAAAACCTCCATCGTTACATCTACAACTTGAACAACAAGTTTCTATTCCTGTTACACCTTCACGAAGCGTTGGTAGATGACTGACAGAGCCAGAAACACAAGCCACACTGTCTATGGCCAAGTCCAGCCTCTCCAGTGCAGACCAGAGAACAGGCAGGGGTTTCCTCTGCTCAGCACAGAGACATACTGACAATCGGACATACTCGTTTCCATGAAGAGGTGCACTCTTTACAAACAAATTTGATTTCTTCACTCAACCTTCTGTTATTTTCATCATAAAAGCAAACAATCTGCTAATCTGACTGATCCCTAGGGCTGACCTGGAGATGATCTAGCCCACATACTCACTTTACATAAGAAAATATAACTCAAAATTAAGTCCAATAGTGTTATCTACCACAACATGCTGACCCATCAAACTCTGTGGATATGATTTTGCCCCAAAATATTTTTAAATAGAAGAAATTTTATATGCTGATAGTAATAATATTAATTGTGACAATCAAACCATAAATTTGGATGATTTCAATTACTCTTCATTCTAAACATCTGCTTCTGACGAATCATAATTCTAAGCTAATCTAAAACCTGTTTTGGTTGTTTCCAATTTCAGAGGAAAGGCAGCTGCTGTCTCAACGCATAACTTCCCTTTGACCCGAGGGAACATTTCAGAGGTCAGCAGCCAATGCCAGGGTTCTCAACCTGCTCACGTAGAAACAGAGAGCTACCTTCGTAATATGTCCATAAAGATGTATCACTGTGGATTTTCTCAAATTAATTTTATTCAGTATAAAGTAATACAGTATACAGTTTGTATTTACTAAAAAGCCTGGCTTCGCCGAAACCGGTTTGGCTCAGTGGATAGAGCGTCGGCCTGCGGACTGAAAGGTCCCAGGTTCGATTCCGGTCAAGGGCATGTACCTGGGTTGCGGGCACATCCCCAGTGGGAGATGTGCAGGAGGCAGCTGATTGATGTTTCTCTCTCATCGATGTTTCTAACTCTCTCTCTCCCTTCCTCTCTGTAAAAAATCAATAAAATATATTAAAAAAAAAAAGCCAGGCTTTGTAGTGAATTTTTAGAGACAGCTCACGCTGTGTGTCTGTTTAATATCCTATTACAAACACAAGGTTATCTAATAATAGAAACATGCCTCACTGATGACATGCCATCCCCACCCAGGATGGTTTACGGGTAGCCTCAATCTCACTTGTCCCACCCAGAGTGAAGTAGGAGAGTGATGAGTATCTCAACGAAAAGGGAGCAATGTCTAATTAAAGACAGTAAACGGGAAACCAAAGAATGTGAAAAATCTCACTAGTGCCAACTACAGTATCAAGGGAGAATGAAGAGAAGAGATTTTAAAAAATAAGTGTGTGTGTGTGTGTGATTTCTTGCCCAGGACTATATATCAAGACAGCTTTCTACCAAATCTTGCACACAATATAAAAGCACATAATTAGGTAATGCAAAAACCAACAACCAAAGTACCCTTGAAAAACCAAGAAACACCCGAAGCTCTCACAGAAGCAGCGAGGAGAACAGGGGTCGCAGGGGTGGGGGAACAGGGACCGGCTGGTCAGAGGGATAAACGGTCAGTTGTGACATGAGCAAGTTCTGGGGCCCTTCTGTGCGGCGCTGTGACGACAGTTCACACACGGAGGGACACGAGCGAGGCGGGTGGAGCAGAGACGGGTGAGTCTGGCTTCAAACGGATCGCAAAGCCTCACACAGCACTTACCTTACACTCCACCACACTCTGGTCCGATTCACACGTGACATAGATTTCATCGACTGCCCGGCGAAGGTTGTCAAAAAGAAACGCCCAGTATCTGGCTCTTAGATCAACTTTGCGAGGGTGCCTCGTTTTAGTGGGACTTTTATCGAAGTGTTTGTCTCCAGCTGTAGATGTTATTTTACAATCTACCGCGGTATTCTGGTGAAGCAAAACAAAACATGAAAAAAATGCTTTGAAAATCCTCCACGGATTGGATTATTACATAAAGCACATGTTTCAACATAAATACTTAAAAACATGACATCACTCTTCTCAGCTTCTATCACAGCACATTGAAATCACTTAAACAAAGCTTGTCATCGCAAACGGAAGCCTCAGGTTTGTAAAGTTAATTCTTATTTCAGGCATGTCTCACTGGAGGTATTAGGAGGACCTCAACTGTGACTAGATCCTTCTTCAAAAAGGAGCACTAAAGAGGCTCCTGATTTACTGGAACCGTGTACGGCACATTTATACACATTGACAAATAATAAAGAGCAAGGCCAACATTTTGAAACAGCTTGCATATATTCTTTTCATTGAAAAAATAATAACATACACTGCATAGTTCTACTCAGCTGCTTAATTTTATTGTAAACCATTTTTCAATTTAAAGTAAAAATTAACATATAAGTGCAAAACAACTGACTAGGAGAAAACATGATGGATTACTATCACCAGGCACATGCAACTGCAACCTCCCAGCCCCAGCAGCACCTGCAGCCACAGGGAGCAGGACTCACAACACGGTGGCAACACCTGCGGGCCTGACAGGCCCAGAAACAGGGTAGGTGCCCGCTGCCCGAGCTCCCCACCCACCAACGCAATCCCCATGCCATGGAGACACTGCCCAAGACCCACAAGACCCCAGACTCAGGGGCACCGCCATCTCAGTGGCAATACTGCAACAGCAGAGACCCGGGCAGCAGCCAGGTACCAGCGACCCCCCGATACACAAACAGCAACAAAGAGGGCAGCTGTGACACCTCTGGCAGACACCTTGGAAGGCAGACAGTGCTGGCTATCAATTCTAACAAGTCAGCTCAGGTAAGAGAAACCAAAACCTGTCCTATAGCACCACCTACTGGAAAACAAAAAAAGGCCTCTAATTACCAACCTGTTGAATTGCTAGGCAAAAAAAGCTTTACCTAAATTAAGAAAGTTGTTCACTACTTCAAATTCACTGGCTGAGGGAAAACCCATCAAGCACCAGGAATAATCACAGTAACACAGTATCACACACACACAAAAAAGACAAATCTCCAGAAACCAAACTTAAAGTCATGGAAGACTGTGATCAAAATGATCGAGAAATCTAAATGGCCGGGTGGCTCTGGTGGTTAGAGCCAGACAAGAATAATTTATCCAGCCAAGTTATGCTTCGGATATAAAGGAGAAATAAAGACTTTCTCCAACAAAAAAACTGATGGAGTTCACCACCATAAGACTTGGCTTCTGCCCTAGCCAGTTTGGCTCAGTGGATGGAGCGTCGGCCTGTGGACTAAAGGGTCTGGGTTCGATTCCGGTCAAGGGCACCTACCCTGGTTGTAGGCTCTCGATCCCCAGTAGGGGGCGTTCAGGAGGCAGCTGACCAATGATTCTCACCATTGATGTTTCTATCTCCCTCTCCCTCTCCCTTCCTCCCTGAAATCAAAAATATATTAAAAAAAAAAAAAAGACTTGGCTTCTAAGACATGTTGAAAGGAGCTCTTCTGCCAGAAAGAAAAAGACAAAAGTCTGACAAGGTGATAGGGATTATCAGAATTGAGTGTTAAAAACCTAATTATTGCATAAAGGTTAAAGGGGGAAATCATTAAAAATAACTATTGCTACTTCAATTTGGTAATGAACACATACCATAAAAATAGATAATTTGCAACAACAAATACATAATCGGGGAGTAAGTAAAGGATGAAGCTTATATAGGCAAGTAAAGATAAGATGCTATCAGAAGAAAAAGGACTACTTTATATGAACTCTGGACAGCCACAAAACAGATATCTAGCCCAGCTGGTGTGGCTCAGTGGTGGAGCACCCACCCATGACCAGGAGGTCATCGGTTTGATTTCCAGTCAGGGCACAAGCCTGCCTTGTGGGCTCCATCCCCGGTGAGGGCATGCAGGAGGCCAATGGACGTTTCTCTCTCATCGATATTTCTATCTCTCTATCCCTCTCCCTTCTTCTCTCTAAAGAAGGAAATCAATAAAAACAGAAATCTAGATCAGAGACACAAACATAAAAAAGAGAAAATGAAGACAATCATCATAGAAAAGCACCAAATTAAAATATCAGTCAGAAACACAAGAGAAAATCAACAATGGAGCTATAGAGCAATCAGAAAACCAAAAATGGCAAGAGTACGGCTTCATATATCAGTATCACCTTAAATGGAAATGAACAACTCACCAATCAAAAGGTACAGAGTAGCTGGACAGATGAAAAAACAAGACCCAACAATACAATACACTGCCTTAAGGAGACTCATCTCAGTTACCAAGACAAACACAGGTTCTAAGGGAAGGTGTGGAAACTAATGCTCCAAGCAAACGGTAGCCAAAAGAATATGAAGGACACAACCAAAAAGAAAACGCAACATTAACATATATGCACCCCACTTAGAAGCAAGTAAATACATAAAATAATTATTAACAGATCTAAAGGTATACATTTACGATAACAGTAGGAGACTTTAGCACCTCACTTAGACAGTAGGGCAAGAAAGAAATATTGGCCTTAAATGACATGAGTCCAGATGTCCTTAAATAGATATATACAACATATTCCATCCAGAAACGACAGAATACACATACTTCTCAAGAGCACATGGACAGACCATATGTTGGGACACAAAGTAAGTCTCCATAAATTTAAGATTGAAATTATATCGCCCTGACCGATTGGCTCAGTGGATAGAGCGTCGGCCTACAGACTCAAAGGTCCCAGGGTCGATTCCAGTCAAGGGCATGTACTTTGGTTGCGGGCACATCCCCAGTAGGGGGCGTGCAGGAGGCAGCTGATCGATGTTTCTCTCTCATCGATGTTTCTAACTCTCTATCCCTCTCCCTTCCTCTCTGTAAAAAAATCAATAAAATATATATATATAAAAAAAGATTGAAATTATATCAAACATCTTTTCTGATCACAATAGTATAAAACTAGAAATTAACTACAAGAAGAAAAATGAAAAATCACAAATATGTGGAAATTAAACAACATGAACTGAACAACAAATGGATCAATGAAGACATCAAAGGAGAAATCAAGAAATACATGGAGACAAATGAAAATAAAAATATGACAACCAGCATCTGTGGCAGGGGCAGGGAACCTCTTCTCTGCCAGGGCCATTTGGATATTTATAACATCATTCAAAGGCCACACATAATTATCAACCTAAAAACTAGCCTGCTGTATTTGGTCAGACATTTAATCAACTCACCCCTAATGCCTTGGTTTCTCTTACCTGAATCATGAAGAAATAGAAAATCTGAACAGACCAATCACTAGTAAGAAAGTTGAAACAGTAATCAACAACCTCCCCCAAAACCAAAGTTCAGGACCAGATGGCTTCCCTGGTAAATGCTACCACCCAGTCAAAGATTTAATACCTCAATTTCCTCATTTGTAAATGAAGACAGTAATAATGCCTACGTCACAGGGTTATTATGATAAGCAAATAAAGTAATATTTGTAAAGTATTTAGTACAAGCTGTGCACATAGTACTATATAAATGTCTTTTAGCCCTGGCTGGCATTTCTCAGTGGTTAGGATGTTGGCATGCGCACCATAGGGTCTCAGGTTGGATTCCTGGTCAAGGGCACATACCTGGGTTGCAGGTCCGATTCCCACCCCAGATCTGTTGGAGTGAGTGTGAGAGGCAACCAATTGATGTATCATGTCAATGTTTCTCTCTCTCCCCCTCCTCCTTTCCTTTCACCCTCTCTAAAAAATTAATGGAAAATAAATTGTATTTTATAACTAAAATAAAAAGTGAGTAAAGAGTTGCATATGCTTTACCTGTTTAGTAGTTTTATGAGTGCCCTGAATTGTCCTCTTTGGTTTTCCACCAGTTTGAAATTTAGATTTTCCTTCAAGGCAAGAATAAACAGATAAATATACAGATCGACAAACAGACAATATAAAATGGAACCACAAAAATCACTCAGACACACTAACACACAACCTCCCTCTAGTCACAGTCAACCTGAACCACAGCTGTAACTGAAAACAAATTCCCAAGGTCCCAGAGACTATTCTCATGGAACAGCTTCCTCAGAACAGGAGTGAATCAACTCCTTAAAGAGGTCAGAGTTTCTGACAATTTAAAAACAAGGTCAAATGGAAAACTTCTGGAAAAAATTTGTTTCATGAGTGAAAACATGAATAAAAATAAATTTTAAAAAGATCAAGTTACTGATACTTCTCAACTTATATATACAGATCTGAAAAATACTTATTTGAATTCAAATCATATTTCAACAAAATTAGGAATACATTTTTTACAACATAAAACTCAGTATTTTCTGTTTTGATTAAAGACTTACCTAATGTATGACATAGTTTCATTTTTGAAACGGTAGGTTTTTTTAGTTTGTATTTTTGCAGTCAGACATATCTCTCTCACTTGTTCTTTTTTTTCTTTTTTATGAAAGACACCACCTACTGCCCTGACCAGAGAGCTGGCCCGTGCACCGAAGGGTTGCAGGCTCATTCCTGGTCAAGGGCACATACCTGGGCTGCAGGTTTGATCCCCAGCCCTGGTTGAGATACATAGGGGGGCAAACAATCAATGTGCCTCTCTCATATGGCTGTTTTTTTTTTCTCTCTCTCTTTCTCCTCCTCCCTTACTCTCTCTGTAAAAAAACAAATCATTGAAAAAAAGATCCTTGGGTGAGGATTAACAACACCAAAAAAAGAATAATAATAACACTTTCCTGAAACCATTTGCATATTAGATAAAAAGGCAATGAAAAACTACTTATTTAATTTATACTAATTTGCCTGAGAATCCTAATTATAAACAGTTTTTAGTCTATCTACTGTTTAGGAATAAATATAGCCTTCTAATTTATAACAAAATGAAACTTATTTTTAATACGTATCATCACTGCCCTGGCCAGTAGCTCAGTGGTTAGTGTCAGAGCACAGACCTAAGGGTCTCGGGTTCAATTTCTGGTCAAAGTCATGTACCTGGGTTGCAGGCTGGATCCCCAGCCCAGCTCGGGTGCGTGCGGGAGGCAGTCAATCTGTGTGTCCCTCTCACGTTGATGTTTCTCTATCTCTCTCTCTCTCTCTCCCTTCCTCCCTCCCTCTCCACCTCTCCCCTCTCTCCCTCACTTCCACTCTCTCTAAAAATCAACAGGAAAAATATCCTTGGGTGAAGATTAACAACAACAAAAAATATACCTACCATCATCATCTTTGCTTTCTAGTGGAACACTCCAAGCTATTAGATTTCTTGCTGTACGACCCTCCTCTGCAACTATTCTCCTTACTTTGTCATGGCTGTTGGAGCGCTGGAATGAAGCCTATGTACAGAAAAGAGAATATTGATTGAATTATTAGTCAAGATATAAAATATATTTGGCAGATAAATGCATTATTTCTTATGTTTCTCAGAAAGAAAACACACTCTATTCATTTTTCATAATCCCGTTCCTATAAAAACATAACTAGTAACTTAAGTAGAATCATTTTGAACATTTCAATCTAAGTAAGCATCAGGGTTTGAAATGCAATAAATGAGTCTGAGATACTTCATAACATTGTGGATTTCTATTTCAAGCAGTATTTTAACCTCGATTCCTTTCTTCAAGAAGACTTAAACAAAACACATGACTTTCATCCAAAGTCAGTGTGCCACCTAGTGCTACATGGAGACTTTTACAAAGGTTTGCTCAAATATTAGATGTTTCAAAAAAAAGCAAACACCAGTTTCACGTAAAAGTTTTTATATTCAACTCTTATAATATATAGTCTAACAAAGCAATTGTTCATAATGTTCACCAAGTGTCTACAGATTTCTGAAACTTACTCCTAGACTGGGGAAAAATTATTTTCACTCATCTCTAAATAATTTCTACTTGTAGCAACTTCACTGATAATCTGGAACTGTTGTCAAGCATTGCTTATTAAATGTTTATGTTTGTACCGACATAAAAGTATCTCCTTTACTCAGGAATGAAGAGAGAGGGATTCACAAACTGAACCGGGACTCCCCGAGGCCACATGAGGGAATGAGAAGGAAGGAGGTACAGCACAGCGATGTGCTGGGAACCAGAGTGAAAACATCTGATCTGTTTGATAATGGCCACCCCAAACCTCCCAAGGTGGTTTCCAGGAAGACTGGCTCCCCTAGAGACTCCATCCCCTCCTCCTCCTGGGCTGGAGTGGTATTGTTGAAGGAGAGACTGAGAACTGAGTTAGAAGAGAAAGTGTAGGGAAGGGAACCTGTCCGTCCAGGCTCCGGGGAGTTTCACCACGTTGACCCCATCCCAGACCAGAGAGCGCCTGGCCCAACCTGCCAGCCTCAGGGAGAGGGTGGCTTCTTCAGAGCTGGCTGGGTCCTGGGCAGAAAAGCAGGGCAAGCTGTTGGCACGGATTGATTTATATCTTTTTAAAATGAAGACAAAAAGGAAGCTGGCTTCCACTTGTGTATCTGCCCTAGGTCCCACAAATGGTAAGAGTGGGGCTCTCAGATTGAATACTACATTCACAGTTGTTCACTTTATTACTGTGCTTCACAAAAAATGTGTTCCCTAGAGTAACTTGTATGTAACAAAAGTGATATCAAAAAAGATAATAAAAAAATAGGTTGGCCCATCTGGTGTGGGGTGTTGCTCAATGGTTTGCACCTCGACCCAGGAACCAGGGGGTCACTGTTCGATTCCCGGTCAGGGCACATGCCTAGGTTGAGGGCTTGACCCCAAAATGGGACATGCAGGAGGCAGCCGATCCATGATTCTCTATCATCACTGATGTTTCTATCCTTTCTCCCTTCCTCTCGCTGAAATCAATAAAACATTTTTTTAAAAAAATGGGTGGAAGAAAGAAAGGAAAGAGGGAGCCCCCCCAAAAATTAAGGTTAGTGTTTGAGGTAGTTTGATCACTTACCATCATTCTTTAATTCCCTTCTATGCCAAGAAGCGCTCATTTATCAAATAAACCCATGGGGTATGACTCCTAGAATTAAAAAACAATTAATTACACACACACACACACACACTAGTAGTCATAACATTGTCAAGAAAACATATCTACATATATAAAAGGCTAATATGCAAAGTGTCCCCTCGGGAGTTTGACCGGGAGCCCAGGAGTTCGATTGCTGGCTATGATGTGTGCTGACCACCGGGGGCTGGCCCTGATCTCCGGCCAGGCCTAGGGACCCTACCTGTGCATGAATTTCGTGCACCAGGCCTCTAGTTTATTCATAAAAAGATAAAAATCTCATCCCAAGTTTCTAATTAATTTAACAACAAAAAAATTGCTCCTTTATACTGCCTGTTTCAATATAATATAGCATGTTTTAAATACTACATGTTCTCCAAAAAAATAAAATAAAATGGGACAGTGTTAATTACAGGAGCAGCCCATGATAGCGCAACCCAGAGGCTTCCATGTTCTTTACTCCCATCTATAAACACACACACACACACACACACACACACTCTGTATCCTGACTCAGTTTACACACGTTTAACTAAAGCAAGTTTCATGAAGTAATACGTATCCCTGTTATGTGAGAGGCACTCTGAGATTTCCTTCTCTGCTCTATTTTTTTAATTATTGCTTTCACTTTGGTTTATGACCCACTAATAAACCCCAACCCCGGATAAGGAGCACTGTGCAACCTTCTTGGATGCCCTCTCCCTCCAGGGAGCATGCTGTGCCTTTTCCTTCCCTTCCCACCTTCCCCTCCCTCCCATACCCTCAAAAAACATAAAGTAAAATAAAATAAAATCCTCTTGGAAACTTTCAAAAAGTGAGATAAGTGAGATTTTATCATAATATGTTAATCACCAATTATATGAGACTCTCCATAGAACAGACCCCGCTTGACAGGAAACCTAGTTAATGTGGCCAGACCTTTACTCAAAGAAATCCAGAGCAGAGGAACCAGACAGAGCACAAAGGGAGAGGGAAACTGCTGGAAGGAATGGCCTAACCCGGTAAGAAGAGCTCGTGCACAAAGAAAAGCAAGCAGCAATTGGAACCAAAACTTTTGGAACGAGAGCCGAGATCTTTTATCCTTTGTCATGTGAATTTGCTCCTTTTAAATGCAGCACCTCCAATGAAAACATATGTGCAAACAAAAGTTTATATACAAGCATTCACAGCAGTATTATTCATAATAGCCCCAATGTGGAAATCACCCAAGTGTCCACAAATGATGGATTTTTAAAAAGTAGTATATTCTTCAATGGAATATTATTCAGCCATAGAAAGGAAGGAAGTGTGTATACATGCTGCAACATGGATGAACCCTGAAAACATCACGCTAAGTGAAAGAAGCCAGTCACAAAGACCACATATTTATTACATGTATATGGAACGTCCAGATGGGCAGTCCATAGTCAGAACACAGATCACTGGGTGTCCAGGGTTTCTTCTGAATATACTAAAAACAAACATGTGTTAAAGGGGTGAATCGTACGACATCCAGCTCAGTACAGCTGTTGGATTTTTAAAGGACAGCCCCTCTGCTCACAACTCTCCAGGCCTCTCCGTCTTACTCAGAGTAAAAGCCTAACTCCGCACAGTAGCTGCCACGCCCTCCACTTCCTAGCTCCCCCTAAACTTCCTAGCTCCCCACACCTCTCGCACCACCTCCTCTCCTCCCTGATGCTCATTCCACTCCAGCCACACTGGCCTCTTCATGTTCCCCCACATAGCAGACACACTCCGGGCTCAGGGCAACCCCATCTGGAACAGTCCACCTTTGGCCTTCCCAAGCACTATCTTAAAAATTGCAACCCATTTCTCCTGATTCCCACCACCTGCAGGCCTTATTCCGCTTCTCCTCTAGAGCACTTATCACCATATATTATTTACTTGGTTGATGTAGTGCCCCATCTTTCCCAACAAGAATGCAAGCTCTATGATGTCTCTTGGGTTTCATTATTGCTAATAGCCTCGGAACATGGACCAGATCATGGCACTGAGTAGGCATTAATATGTATTAACGAATGAAACCCATGCTAAAAAATCTTTGTTCCTTTCCTCTCACATTCGACATATTCAAAGCCTGCCAATTCTTCAAGGCCAGTTCAAAAGGAATCTTCATAAACCCTCCTCTGACACCCCAGCTGAGAGAGATCTTCATCTGAATTCCCAGACTTTATCCAAATTCTTCCATCTAAAAAGCGGGGGAAGGCATGATATAGTGGAAAGGCTTTTTGGAGGCACCGAGTCCACCAAAGCACTGTGACTTTGAGAAGTCATTTAACCTCTCTGAGTTTCAGTATTCTCATCTCTAAAAATGAAGGCCAGGCATTTACCCAACAAACAAAAACATAGTTTCCACAACAAGATCTATATACAAATGTTCAAATCAGCTTCATTCATAATATACCACAACTGAATCAACTCAAATATCCATCAAGAGAAGAGATAATCAAATTGTGATATATCCATAAATAGAATGAACTGATACAACGAAAAAGAGAAACTTCAGACATTATGTGTGGAAAAAGAAAAAGAAACTGGACACAAAAGCGTACATACTGAATGATTCCATTTATGTGAAGTGTAGAACATTCAAAACTAATCTTAGGTGAGAAATGTTGAGGGACGGCTGCCTTGGTTGAAGGGGAAGCTTGGACTAAGAAGGTACAAGGGGACTTTCTGGGAGATGGAACTGTGGTAGTGGTTCAATTGTATATAAAACTGATGATATTTATTGAACTGTCCACCTAAAAAGTGAGTGCACTTTGTATGTAAATTACACCTGAATAAAATGATTAAAAAAAAAGGGCAGATAGCTGAGGGGTGGAATATGAAGGCTACCTCTGACTTATAAAGTTGCTAGAAGGATTAGATAAGGAACATACATACTGAAATAAGTATGACACAGCGAGAGAGTGCATACTGGTGTGGAACTGAATCCCAATGTAGCCAGTTTTTATAGTTCCTGGTTATATAGCCTCGGACAAGTCACTTAATCTCTCGGAAATGACGTTTTCACTTCTGTTCAGACAATAACATCTGCTTTGCTTAAATGGTCGCATACTAGAGATCACCAAGTTAATGCAGCATCTGACATACAACAGGTACCCAGATACTTTTTCATATAACATATAAAACCTGCACATATAGATGCTCAGTAAGTGTTATCCTCTCTTCCCCTTCTTCCTGTATGAGAGTTTTCTTAAGAGAAGGAGAGGATCGATGTCTGAATGATCGTCTGCTTAAAGTGCCTTACAAATGGCAGGCCCTCAACAAAGATTTTGAAGGAAAGGAAGGGAGTTGGATGGCTTGATGATTATGAGGGATTAATAAATAGGCAATGCGGAGGATTTTCAGAGCAGCGGAAGTCCTCTATGCGGCACGATAATGGTGAAGCCCCAGGACAAACATTTTTAAAGTCTATGTTTAGAACACTCTGTCTTTTGGGCCATAGTCACCAAAGTGATGTGTAAATGCATGTGCACAGGAACACTGATGAGGCTTCCGTGCATCATCCAGCAGGTGCCCTGACCTGCACCAGGACGGGCTTAACCATGGAAAGCAAAACCTCGCAGCTCAAGGGAGTGGGAAGGAAGGTGGACTAAGCCAGCGGTTCTCAACCTTCTGGCCCTTTAAATACAGTTCCTCATGTTGTGACCCAACCATAACATTATTTTCGTTGCTACTTCATCACTGTAATGTCGCTACTGTGATGAATCGTCATGTAAATATCTGATATGCAGGCTGGTCTTAGGCGACCCCCGTGAAAGGGTCGTTCGACCGCCAAAGGGGTCGCGACCCACAGGTTGAGAACCGCTGGTAAGCCTTTGCTGAGGGCAGTTCCACACGCTCTGCAGACTCCTCGGTTACTCGCTATCAACAAACGTATGAGATGGGAAGCATGTTCCCCATTTCACAGACGACGAAGCCGAGCCCCGGAGAAATGCACGATCTGCTGGGATTCAAACCACCACGCGTCCGTCCGTCCGCCCGTCCGATCGCACTTCCTCCCACACAGACAACCCGTCAAACCCTTAACAACGGGCTCTTCGATGGAGGAAAACACTCATTCCTCACGGGGTGTTTGCTATTCAGACCGGCTCGAACAAGCACCCAGCACGTTTGTAAGGAAAGTCATAATTATCAGGGAAAAAACAAGAGCAGAGCCGAACACCAACCAGAATTCAAGCCGGGGCTGCCTGGCCCGACCGCCGACCTGAGGCCGAAAGCTTTGCCCGGACCCACCACGTGCCAGCAGGTGCCCGGGACGGAGCCGCCGCTTCCGGCCTCAGTTTCCCTTTCTGCACCGAGCACAGCCCCCCATCTCTCCGCCGATGAGCATGAAACGGTGCTGAAACCAACACTGTGAACGGCACCGAGCAACACACCCAGCATTACAGCCCGTCAGCCGCCCTCCGAGCGGCTCTGTCCGCGGACAATAACCGGCACCCACAGGGGGGAGGCGGCCG